ATTAAGAGAAGAAACAAGAACTGACAGACCCATTAAAACATGGCAGTGAGCTTTTAAGTCTTCCTTCTTATCTGATGGCTCAGATCATTTCTCATTTCACAGGAGCACAGAGAAACTCTCTTATCTTCAGCTTTCTACTCTCCTATTTTAGAATACAGAGACCTTTCCTAGCCCTATTAAACAGCAGCATTCTTCAAATATCTCCTGTTTTCACATTAGGAGAGCAGCAGGAGTGCACAGTATCCGTTAAAAGACTCTCTCTAATACAAAGCTGCAAAGCCATTGCTCTCAGCACTGAAGATTTTCATGAAATCACATTTCTCTTATAAGAAAGTTCATTAATTTTTATAAACAGTTCTTCTAAAACTTGACAAGGCTCTTGTACTATGTAGCAAACTCAGGACCAGATTAGATATAGGCACAATAGACACATTCCCAAGGCCCGAGCTTGCAGACATGTGATGCTATCAGACTGAATTCTGAGGTTTGGTTTTTTCAAATTACTTTTTCTTGCCCTGATAGTACTATCATCGAGTGGCTGCCTCCTGGGCACCCTTCTAAAGTCTCAGCAGCCCCCCAGCCTCGATTTTCCTCTTCCAGGCACTGATGCCTGCCCATGTTCTTCACCATATATGATAAAGTGGCCATGCCTGGCAGGTGCACCTGAAGCAGGCCACAGCACAACCAGCACACTAGGCTCACTTTCTCATTTCCCCCCCCAGAATCCTCAGTAACTCCACACAAGCTTTTGCAGCATGAATAGCTAGCCTATTATTGAGATTAACTCATTACAAAAGGGAATACTGAGGACTGACTGAGAAGACAGCCTTCAAGTACTTTGACGGTTGTTATAAGCCACTGAGAATAGAACAAGTAGTAATGAGTTTAAATTGCAACATGGAAGATTTAGGTTAGACATCAGGAAACATTTCGTAAATATAAGGTAGTTAAGCATTGAAACAAATTACCTAGGGAGGTTGTTATGTAGAATCTATGTAATTGGAGGTTTTCAAGAACAGGTTAGACCATGGGTTCTCACACTGGGGGGCGTGAAGAAATTCCAGGGGGGCGTGAGGGGACCCAGCCACACACCCCTGTCAATCCCACCCCAAGTTTTGCTGTTATTTTTTTGGGAGGCGGGCGTGAGGGTTTCTCAAAAATCAGAAAGGGGGCATGATACCAAAAAGTTTGGGAACCACTGAGTTAGACAATCACTTGTCAGGGATGGCCTTGATAATACTTAGTCCTGCCTCCATTTGGGAATGGTACTGGATGATTTATCGGGGTCTCTTTCAGCCCTAAATTACTATGATTCTAGGATTACTGAGAGTCTAGCCTTAAAATCTATTAATCTAAATACTCTCTCATAAAGTCATTCATCCCACCTGTCCAATTCCTAATCCATTTTTTTATCATCTCCTCACCAGTGCTTTTGCTCCTAGTTTTTCAACTTGACTGCTGACAGTTATTGTGCTCCCAGAAGAAATGGGGGAGGAGAGGCACAAGAGGGTGGGCGAGCCCTATGCTTCCTCCAGCTTGGAAGAAGCAGAGATGCCAGGCTCTTCCCTATCACAGAAGCAGCAGTACAGGATACTACACTCACCCAAAAGCTGGAAGTTGCTGGCAATAGTGGCCCTTATTCCTCCTGATCAGCCAGGGATCTTCCCTTCCTCTGACTACTGGGAGATGTGACAGTACGTTTGCCCTCTTTTCTACCTACAGAATGCCAGAGCTAATGACCCTTGTATTCTCCCCCAGTAACTAAGGCTCTTGCTCATACGGATTCCTGCTCCAGGGGCCTGGCAGGAGCCTGCTTCTTTTTCAGACTGCCTTCCTCTGGATTGCTAACTTTGGCTCCTCCCTGACTGGCAGGGCTTCTCCGAGCAATGGAAGGATGCCTCTTAAACCTTGGTGTAGTGCCCTCCTTGAATAGTTTGGTCTGCCCCAGTGAATGCCTTTTTTTTAAAAAAAAATCTTTCCTCCTAGGTCATGTTTTCTAGACCTTTAATCATTTTTGCTGCTCTACTTTCTCCAGTTTGTCCTGAAGTCTGCCCAGAACTGAACATAATACTCCAGTGGAGACCTAACCAGAGCTGAGAAGAGAGGAAGAATTACTTCTTGTGTCTTGCTTATAACACTCCTCCTAAAACATCCCAGAATGAAGTTCATTTTTTTTTGCAACAATATTACAACATTGATTCTCATTTAGCTTTTGATCCACTATGACCCCCAGATTCTTTCCTGGAGTAGTCCTTCCTAGAAGTCATTTCCATTTTGAGTTTCTGCAATTCATTATTCCTTCTGAAACATTGTATATTGCATTTGTCCCTAATGAATTTCAATCTATTTAATTCTCCAGTTTGTCAAGATAATTTTAAATTTTAATCCTCTCTTCCAAAGCACTTGCAAGTTTGCACCTCCTCCCAGCTTGGAATCATCTGCACACTTTGTAAGTGCATTTTCTACACCATTCTGAATAGACCCAGATCCAGGTTCTCACCAGGAGACTTACCAGGCTGCCTGCCTGCAGAGCTAAAGGCTTACAAAACTTAAAATGTTTTTGCCTGCTTGGCCATGTGTCTGTCCAGAAACCAGCCAATGGGATTATGCTGAGGGCAGGAGTAGCCTCTGAATCTTCCCTCCTTCTCTCCGGACTGAAAGAGAAAGTGCCTCATAGCTGCATTTCTGAACAGCGTGCGGGATTGCAGGGCAAGCAAGGGAGTCTGCCTGCGGCTCCCCACTGCCTCCATGGGCCAGATCCGGTGGCTTAGTGGGCTGCATCCAGCCCGTGGGCCATATTTTGCCCAGGCCTGGTATAGGCTATATTTCTCTAGTTTATTTATGTGAAGGCCATGCGAGATAGTATCAAAAGCCTTACTAAAGTCAAGATTTATGACATCTATGCTTTCCCCTATCCCTGTTGGTTTCACATGATGTTGACTATTATGTTGACTATTACTTATTCCCTTATCTTCTAGGTCCTTACAAATTGCTTATGTAATAATTTGCTCCATTATCTTTCTGGGTACCAAAGTTAAGCTGACTAGTCTACAATTCCTGGAGTTTCCTTATTCCCCTTTTAATAGATGGGTATTATATTTGCCCTTTTTCATTCCTTGGGTATCTCTCCCATCCTCCAACAGTTCTCAAAGATATTTTCTAATGGCTCAGAAACTTCTTCAGTCAGTTCCTTTAGTCAGATGTATTTTATCAGGCTCTGCAGACAAGAAAACATTGAACTCCTCACAGTAATTCCCAACTTGTTCTTTTCCTATTTTAATTTCTGATCCTACCTCATTTACACTGTTCTTCTCTATGTTAATCATCTCCTCACTTCTATATTTTTTATGAAAACTGAAACAAAAAGGCATTTAAAATTTCAGACACTGCTGCATTTTTTATTATTGTCTTTCTCTCTTCATTTAATAATGAGTGTGCTCTGTCTCTGGCCTCCTTACTTCCCATATATTTGTAAAATGCTTTCTTGTTATCACTTATATCCTAGCTAGTTTAATCTTGTTTTGTGCCTCAGCCTTTCTAATTTTGTCTCTACATACTTATATTTTTTTAATGCTCATGCTTTGTAATTTGACCTAGTTTCCACATTTTGTATGATTCTTATATGAGTTTCAGGTCACTGAAGATCTCTTGGGTAAGCCATGGTAACTACTTCCAATACATCCTATCTTTCTTATGCATAGATATAATTTGCTTTTGTGCCTTTAATCACATCTTTTTGAAAAACTGCCAACTGTCCTTAATTTTTTTCCCTTAAACTTGCTTCTCACAGGATCTCACCCACCCATTCTCTGAGTTTGTTAAAGTTTGCTTTTGTGAAGTCCATTATCTTTATTCTGTTGTTTTCCCTCCTTCAGCACTGCACAGCTGATCCCAGGCTAAGCACGGTGCTGCCCCTTTGAAACGCTGCCTTGGCTCTTATATGTTTCAAAGCAGAAGTGCCCTCATGGAGCCCAGAGTCAGAGGAACTTCCCGCTGGACCCGGGCTGCACGCAGAGTACTGCATTCCTCTTTTGAAATGTACAAGAGATCCTGTAGGGCTTTTTTGAACCCTGTTAAAGTCCTAGCCTTCACCACATCCTCTGGCAAGGAGTTCCACAGATTGACTGTGCGCTATACTCCTCCTCATTCTTTCCAATTATGCACCTAAGTATCACACTAGTCCTTTGGTCACAGTGTCACGCTGGGAGCTCATGTTTATCTGATTATCCATCGTGATTACCAAATCTTGTCAGAGTTGCTGCTTCCCAGGGGGGAAAAAACCACATCCTGTAAGCATGGTCTGCAGTCTTTTTTCTTAGATGTATGAATCTGACCATACTGAAATGCATATTTGCATGCTCCCACTTTACCAAGAAATCCAGATCACAGAATCAGTGACCCGTCCTCTTTATTATTTACCTATTTAATGTTTGTGTCATCTGCAAACTTCCAGATCATTGACAAAAACATTAAACAGCATAGGAGTAAGAACCAATCACTTCAGGACTCCACTGAAAACACTTTTACGATCACGTATTGAACCTAACACTCTGCCTTAGTTAATCCATTTGAGGTATTTTGGTGTTTTTTGTGAATTGATATAGTTTTTTAAATATAATGTTTTGTGGTACCAAGTCAAATGCCTTAAAGAACCAAAATTGTGATCTCATAACAAAGGTATTAAACTAGTACGACAAGATCTATTTTCCATAAACCTGTGTTGCCTGGCATTAAGAGTTACCACAGACCCGTGAGATGGTACTGCTCATCAGCAAAGCATATCATCTCCCCAGACTCTCTTGAGAAGATACAGAATATGAAGTTACAAGAACCACTTGAGTAGGTTTAATCCAGAGGAACACTGAAATTACATCTGTAATCCAAATAAAGTTTTAGGATTTTACTGAGCACTGATCTGAACCAGACCAAAGCTATAAGAAAGAATTAAAAATCACTGCAAAATCTCAAACCATTTTTTTTATTGAGAAAACTGACCATACCTTACAGATCTTGTATAGTGATTCCTGCCCGTCTCCTCCTGTGTCCTTGAAATAGTCATGGGCTGGAAATGTTCGATGAATGTCTCGGGTAATGACACTCTCCTGGGCAGAGTCCTATGAAAGAAAAAATAATACTATTAGCACAGTTGCAGTATGTATAATATGCAGAGTGTAAAATTCTATCTGCAGTCAACATGGATACATCAGAAAACTGCTTTTCTGACTTGTCTCCCAAAAATGTATTTAAAAAAGCCTCAACTCAAATAACCAATTGACAGCTATTTTAGTAAGAGCAACGTGGCAAGTTTTCTTCCTCCAGCCTTAGGATCCAAAAAGCTTAAACTTTGGTAGCACTTTAAGGAAACTGTTAGTCATGTAACTGTAGTTGCTTTTTTTCCTGAAAATGTTGCACACTATGTCCTTCTGAATATCAAGAAAACAGAATCAGCTGCCTTGAGCCACTTTTGAGATGCATTTCTTCAAAACTTATCAACCAACAGCAAAACAGTGCTAATTACAAATTAAAACTAGTAGTTTGAACCTGACTATTTGAAAATACTTAAAATTTACCATTTAATGATCTCAAGAAAAAAAAATACATTCTAGGTTTTTTTTACTAGAATCCATAATGACCACACACAAATATTTATCCTCTCTCTTTCAAAGCAGCAAAAGGATTAACTGTCAAGCAAGTCCATACTTTCCCTTGCTATCTATACCTCTTTAATTCAGCTGCATTTTCATGTTGGCTAGTAATTAGATCTATTTGTGTGCAAAAGGAAGCAGACTGCTTGGGAAGCTGGGCGACTGTCAAAAAACATCCAAATTATTGCCAATGAATCCTGAAAAAATTCTCCTAGCATATACCAAGCCGAGATGACAACCTGGTTCTGAGACGTTTAGGAATGCTCACAAACATTAGGGCAGAATGAGGGAGCTTGCTTGGACCTTTCTCTTCCCTCTGCTTCTTGTCTATGCCTAGGAGCTGGAGGGAGACCCTGACTCCTACTCCCAAAATAGGGAGAAAGAGAGAAACAGCCCTTGGTAAGCTGCTTTCCAATGCCACCAGGGCTCTTAACTGCATTGACCAGTCCCAGGCCTGGACCTCCTGCCTGGGATGAGCCTCCTCATCTTCTCATTCTTCTATTACCCTCTTTCTTTTGTCACCATAAACTTCTCTTGCCCCTCTGGCTTCATCTATCCTGCAGACTGTGAGCGTCTGATAGGAGGCAAGTTGTGGTGACTTCGGAGGGGTTTGGGAGGCTGTACTCATTGCCCAAGCCACAGGCTGCATGTTGTGCTCCAGGTGCCCAGAGGGTTCGAACATAGTCCACAAGAGCTCATAAAGGGCAGGCAGAATGCAGCACCTGGCCTGGAGCTTTGGCGGTGAATCCAGCAGCACCAAACCCTTTCAAAATCATGGTAGTTTACCTTTACCTCCTGCAGCCTGCCCATTGCCACAGGGGAAGTGGAGAAGAATGCTCTTCCTGGAGCCACAGAACTATGTGCTGTCTTTTTTGGATCACGAAGGTGGGGAGTGACACACGCACTTGCGAAATTAGAAGATTTACATCTGAATTAGTAATTTCGTAATTACATGCAAAAAATCGGGAGAACTGTGGAAAATTAGGGAACGTTGGCATCTCTGAACCAAGGACTGCTACACAAGCATTCATTTTATAGCTACCACAACAGAAGAACCTAAGCCTCCTTCTATCAGTCACCTTAGCATTAACCTGTTTCCCTGGAGACAGGGGGTGGAGTAGCATGTCCTGATCTAGTAGGGTATGTCTACACTACAATGTTATTTTGAAATAGCTTATTTCGAAATTGCGCATCTACACACAAAATGCATTTCAAAATAGCATTTTGCTATTTCAAAATAGTGCATCCACACTGAATGGACTCTGAATGGCATTTAAGGCTGTCCGGAACCAGTTCCAGCAGGGCACCAGGTCAGGACTTATTGTGTGGGGCTGCTGCCTGAGGCTATCTGAGGTCTGTGCTTAAAGCTCCCCGCCCCCCCTCGGACAGCCGGTTCTCACCTTTCCCTCCCCCCTCCCCCCCTCGGACAGCCGGTTCTCACCTTTCCCTGATTGCTTGTCTACCTCGATGAGGGACAGCAAAGCATTTTGCCTCTGCATGCTCTGCTTGCCCTCACTCGGGACAACACAGCGCTCTGCCACATGGAGCCAGAGCTGCCCCGGGCACTCTGGTGCTTCTCGTGGACGCGTTGCTGTGAGCCTGGCTGCACTTTCTGCAGGCTGCCATCCAGGAGATCCATTGGGGGCTATCAGTATCCAGGAGGCCCTGTGGGAAAGCTTCCACCATGAGGAGCACTAAAAGCCTCCCTGATCTGCCCCATTGGGGGCTTGTGCCTCCTTCTTCCCTCACGTTCTTTCACTTACTGCTCCCTATCCCCCCCCACCCCCCTGATTCAAATACACTACACGTATTTTCATGAAGACAAACTCTTTTTATTTAACAAAACTGGGGGGGGGGGGGGGAATAAGACTCGGGAGACA